ATCTGTGTGATCTATGTAAACTCTATGGAGTGTATTAGGGCTGAGATGTGGCCAAGCTTTGCAGTTTTCTGAGCTGAGACACAGAAGCTAATCCTCTAAGAAAAAGAGAAAGGAAGCTAACCCTGATGCAGCCCAAACCCTTTTCCAGTTTGTCATTCCGCACTTCAAAGCATACATGATGAAATCCCCCAAGGTATTATAAGAGCTCTGGCATAGCAGGCATCCTCAACCCTGTCCTAGCCTAATGCCTCATAAACGGAGTCTGGAAACATGTCCCTTTACTATTTCGAAAGTCTTTGTAGCCTTGTATCTTTAAGAACCTTTTAGAGTCGCAGAGGAAGAGGTGCTTTCCTACTGGAGGAGATATGAGGCATTTGTGAATCATTATACGGCCAAGGGATTCCTGTCCCCTCACCATAAAATATTGTACATACAGTATGCACATGTTCCTCTTAGAGAATGTTTAGATCAGGACAGGAACCAGTCATTGATCTTCTTCAGAGGACTGCTGAATGAGCGCTTATACAGAAATACAGTGCACAGGAAAATATGTGTCCTAGATAGAGACAGGCACATAATTTAAGCCATTCAGTTCCCAGTGCACTATGTGACGCCATCAAATGTTGTTTTACAGCTTGCTGAGCTGTCAGATTATTGGGTTTCATAAATACATCCATTATTGGTCTCCAGGCTTCAGACTAACATTGCCTGCTAGACAGAACTAAAGGAAACAGCTGAAACTCTGTTAGGCTCGTACAGTCACAGGGAGATGAAAGAAACAGTGGATGTTTTCCAGTTCTATACACCACGTAACTGCAAACAAATACTATTACAATCCATACCAACAAAAGGCTTCTATTAAAGTCTGTAGTTAACACTCAAAAGGACAAGTTTAGGTGCAAATAACTATTACTATCATTGCTGATTAATTATTTAATCTATAAAATGACCATCAATTACTACAACCCCAGGTGACATCTTCACATTGCTTTGTCCAGCTCCCAAACCCAAAAGTATTGAGTTATATAAAGAAGTAAATAGTCGCAAATAGTTGAAAACATGGAACTAGCTAAAATTTTTCATTCTTCTTTGACAAACAATTAATTGATGATCAAAATGGTCAAAATGCTCTCTGATAAATCTAACTTAATATTTCGGCTCTGGTTTGTTTCAGCACAGTGATTGTTGCTGGCATCACATCAGTGTACTTAAGAACACAACTACAAATATTAGCAATGTGCAATTGTGATTTCAGTCAAAGATTCAGTCAAATTTGGAGCTGAAATGTAATCTATTTATCTGTAATAATCCAAGGCATCAATCCTGTTCAACAATCATCAACATCATGCGCCAACATGTTATTTGTGCAAAAAAGGGTATTAATCGTTCCATTTAACAATTGATTCTACTGTATAGAAATGCAGCTGTTCAGCTGTTACCCTTTCTGCTATAGTATCTCCTATTAATCCCTTAACCCAACTACCTCACACCCTCCCTTTGGGCCAACTGCCAAACCTGCTCTGTTTCATCTTTCAAAATGGCAGAGAGGGCACCGAAACGGAGCGTGCACTGACTCTTTAAACAACAAAGACCATCCGAATGTGGTTTGTCTATTAACCAAGATAGCACCTGATTCTGTGTGTATGTGTGTGTGTGTGTGAGGGAGAGAGCAAGAGAGAAAGGGAGAGAGAGAGAGAGGAAAAGAGAGGGGCAGAAAATGAAAGAGATAAATTGAGAGGACTCAGTCTGCCCCCGCTGTTCTCACTCAGCAGACTTGTGATAAGGTTTATCTCCGGTGCCTAACGAGTTCGCCCAGTAGCCCTCTCCAGCTCCCACCGAGTGGACCGGGGTGCACAGAGCTGCACACAGCCAGCAGTGGGTTGAGCTCCCTTAGGTGACCTGTGCGTGTTGTTCATGCTACGCTGCTTTAGAACTTTATTTTCTGTAGGAAATGGCTTCGGCCCCTTCGGCCACATCTCTTTTAATCTGGGATTTCTTTTTTTGCCTCCTTTTCTTCATCCTTTCTACTCACTGTAACTCAGACTGCCAAGAGAAGCTGCAAGAGCTGGAGAAAGAGATGCTGCGGAGCTTTGGCACAGAGAGGCGTGTGTGTCCCAGAGGCAGTGGCTGAGGCAGAGATGGAGACACAGAAAGGGAGAGGGGGGCTGCTGCTGAGTTAAGCCCCTAATCACAGTCTGCTCTGCATGAAGGACTTAAAGTCACTCCATTTAATGCTACCTTCTCTTTAGTCAAAAAAGGGAAAGAAATACTACTGCTTACCTCTTCAGCTTTCTGATACCCAGGCCCCCATTCCTATCATATACCCATTCTTCTGATGCACAGAAGTGCACAGCTATAGCATATAGTCAAACAAATACAGAGAAATATGCAACTCAAGCACATACATAGAGGCAGGAAAACACACACATGAACATATACTTGCACACACAGCAATGCAAGCATAAATGTTTCCCTTTCCACAATCTCGCATTAGCCTTAATAACATGAGCGACCATTAAAACTCTTTAAAGAAACGGCTTGTGTGAAGTGGAAAATAAAGCCACGTGAAACAATTTCATGGTAAACCACATTTCTGACTGACACGGCTGCCATGCCCTTCACTGGCGTGCTCAGGTGCTTCATTTGTTTCTGCGCGAAGTGGAGAATATGAGCAGATCCTCAGAGACTGCAGGGTCCCACTGGCTCAAAATATATTAATTGACTTGGCACCGCTTCCAGCCAGGTGTAACACACTTTTGCAGAATACTCCGGAACGCCTGCTAGATCTTTTGGGAAATTCCCCCCTACCGTGTCAAAGCTACACTTTCCGTACTTCCAGCTGCTGTTTCGACTCACCTTCCACTCTTGTCCGCATGGCTAGCAGACTATGGGTTGGCGTATAGGTCTTAATCTAATGTTGGAACATTGATTTATGCTTGGGTGTCCCACAGCCATTAAGATAATTGCATGATCACTTTATAACATCCTCCCCTGGTGGCCATGGTAATTTGGCTCCCCCCACCACCTACCTTGCTCACTAAGACCCATAACCACATTATAGCAATAGAAAATGTGGTTGGAAATATCATCTTTCAGCCCCTGCAAATTGATTTCATACATTTTCCACTGACTTCTAAAACCCTTTTAGTCTATGTCTCACCTGTGCTGACCATTTGATCTATTGGAGGCTTCTAGGTCTTAACAGCTTGTATTGATCGTGATTCTTCAGCCAGCATCTTGAGGGGATGCTCTCATGTCACCTTGTAATTCCAATAGTCTAGGTATTTGTGAGTGAGATCATCACTGAGGCAATGTATTTTTAGCTGTTAGGGCAGGGAAGCGGGCTTTGATTGCCTTCAATGGTAAACGACTGTGTTAAATGGCACTATGATCTCTTTTGACAAAATCTTTATTAAAATAAAGATTCCACCACCATCACGGGCTTATGCATTAGAGGAGAAGTTAGCGTCAATGAAAGTCGAATTGCTTTGACAGATTGATCCAAAGTGAGGCACTTCCTGAGCATAAACACTGCCAGTTTATTAAAATTGAACACATCAAAATCTTTGCAGCTTAAGTACAAATGGCGAGCTCAGAAAGAGGCAGTGATCTGAAACTTTAGACCAAGGGCCTTCAATCACATCCAGCTGGCCACATCACTCACACAGAATGGTCACTAATATTTCAATAGTTTTATTTACAGTATTATGAACTTGCATTATTAAGTTACTGCTAATGCAAACCAAACTATTCCTACTGTTGCAGCTTTACATTTAAAGAATTTAACTGACGAAACACAAGTTGTCTTTTATTACAAGGTAGTAGTAAATGCAATGTTTTTGTCTGTGAGGTTGATAAAGTCTGACCACTATTGTTCATGAAAAATGCATCTACAAAACAAGACAACACTCATTTCCGGCATTTTTTGATGACAGCGGATCAGTTTGAAAGATTGGAGGAAGTAATGGAACAAGAAGGAGCAGCCACAGTGAGCTGTTAGATGAAGAGCTGCAGGTGACAGGCTGCACACCTCCAACTTCTCAACAAGGTAACCAACTACTTTCACTTTGGCTGTTCACAGACTCATGCTGTGTGCAATATCAAATTACGGTTGCTCAGCAGTGAGAGTGATGAATAAAATGCCAATTACTGTTTGATTTCTTTATTAAACGACAATAGTTTGCTTTGCTGTCCCCAGAATTCTGTGACTTGCAGTATTAAGCCGCATTTAACTACAGGTGTCACATGCACAAAATGGGGCAGCTGCATAATAGTGTTAGACCAGCTAAAGTTGATTAATATTTCCTGCCTATGGGGAGATTATCCAGCTGAAAATGTGATCCATTTCATTGTTTATTCTAACTTTAATACTTGAGATATCTACCACTTAAATTTTTTTCCAAAAAAGCTCAGCAGGATTGCTTTTGCGATAATAAATTCACATTTTTGCATTAAGGTGATTAAGTACCTTGATTTGTCAGTTATTCACTACAGGCATTCACTGTATTATTATTATTTTTTTGTATTACATTTTTATCTAGTCTTTTTAATGTAAGTGGTCTCTATTGAATTTACAAAAGAATAACTGTATGACAATATAGATAAATAGATAGAGAGAGATAGAGAGAGATAGACAGGGAGATAGATATATTATATATATATATATTATTATAATATTTCTATACATATTGTCCACACATAGGCCCAGCCTTCTAATGTTTACTGACATAGAGACTATAGTAGCTATGCTGCATTGATCATAAATAGTGAATGAGTAGGCTGAATCCTGTGTCTTCCTCCTCATGTGTGAAAGTGTGTGTGTGTTAAGTGAGAAAAAGTTGTTACACTGACACACAAAGAAGTTTGTGCTTTTCAAGGACTACACTGGTATTATTAACATAAATTATAACTGATTGATCTTTTGAAACGTCAGAACATATGGGGAAACCTGTTTTCTTTAAGAAATGATCTTTGTCTTGTGATGATGGCAGCAAATTTACCTTTCTTTCCGGTGACTTCGTGGCAAAGACAGTCATGTGACAAGCAAGCAGCGGACACCAAAACGGGGCCATAGTCTTCCCTTCGTCCTCTCCACATAGCCAGCCTGGCGAATTCTCCTCTCCTGAAATAAATAAAGAGGGAGACTTCTTTATTTCTCCTCACAAAGGTGGCACTAACTTGTTTATCAACTTGTTTTGTGGTTGTGCTTTTTGAGAGCATGCTTCTCAGCCTCACAGTTGAGCCCAGCTGTAAACTCTCCTTCAGGCTATGTCAAAACCGGAAAAAAAAGTAATCAGAAAGACATTGCACTACCTCAGGTATGTAATATGAATGATGTTATTAGCATGTGAATGTTATAATCAGCTAGAGGCGTATTCCCTGTTGTAGGAGGCGAGGCCAGGTACTGCCAACACAGGGCCTCAACAGTGATTAAACCTGCACTTAATCAACAGTGAGAGTCAGTCTCAGCAGGAAAAATGCAACTGCTGTATTTGAGTTATAACAGTGGATTTGCCTGGTGTGTGCGCCATCTCAGCGCTCACAGCCTTGAGCCTTACAACAGGTGCACTTCTGACAAGGCGCCGGGCAAATCTGCCAAAGTACTCCCATTATGTAATTTTGTAATCATAAATTTCAATTTACAGAAACTAAATTGTGCATGAAATTTAACAGCTTGCTAAAATTTGCTTCCTGGTTGGTTTGCATATGTTACCTTGGAAAAGCTGCACTTCATATCTGTAGTTTTCCTTCTAGGCATCATCACAGATGTATTTGACTTATTTTCAGTAGTAAAAGTGGATAGCAGCATTTCTTTGATAAGAGTATTGTTTGCTCACTCTTTTTGTGGCCAAGAGGTATAAAATATTCAAAAATATTCATAGGTATGTTTTCATTAGTGGATAATCACCTCAAAATAAGAGTTGTTGTGTTAAAATGAGACATTTTTATCTACAGAGGGAGCAGGTTTTCTTCTACGGAGCCAGACATGTTTCTACGGTAGCCCAGAACAGACAAACCAAACACTGGCTCTCGATGGGGCCCTTTGGGTTTTTCGGGAGACCATACGCTTGGGAAGGGAGGGTGAGGCAAGCTAGTGGCAATCTGCACCTTCACTGCTAGATGCTGCTAAATTCTACACATTGGGCTTTAATTACATGAGCTTGCTCAGTATGACAGCACAAGATTGTAAAATGGGTTTCATTTCTGTTTAGGCCACAAAGATACATCACTTATTGGGCCAAACTTCACTGACATTAGGCTTTTAATCATTATGTAGGTATCTTTATAAGAACAACAAAAAAAATCTAAATTACTTTATATTTTTAAAACATGTACCATACTTCTTTAACAACTGTGACTGAAATTACTGACATAAATGTGTCCTCACTCTTGATAAACAGGATATCAAACTGGAGTGAAAGCCACATTCACATTAATCTGAATAAAATGTTCATATTTTACAAGACACAACACATTTTGATACAGAGAAAGAGGGTCCTAGAATGATCAAGGACAGGAAAGAAGAGCACTGGGTAAGTGTATTGTGTCTCTCAATGACTAATGCTGTGCTTGTGTTTCTGTTTTCTACAGTATTTTTCATATTTCCTTTTTCATTCACCTCCACTGCTTTCTCAATAGTGGACATATCAAAACATCTGCAAATAAAACAGAAACTATCTGCACGGCTACACAGCTTTACTGTCAAGATATGTGACAAAACATATGAAAAACATGATGAGTGTTTAATGTGTGTATACTATATTGTACAAGTTGTAATGACCAGATTTGTGTTACTTTGAGCAGATGGTAAGTCGAATTATGTGTTTTAAAGCCACAATAAAATATACGTTTTTTATTTAATCTGATGATGCTCAAAGATACAAGATCTTAAGCAATTAAAGCATAATTCATCCATTGAATTACTTCACCCCTTGCACAATATACTGACATGAACAAGGTTACTGTGAAGAATGTTGCAGATAAACGTTTTAAATCATTCAGTCATTTATATTTACATTCATCTCGAGTTGTGAATGTTCTTTAATAATTAATTTTTTTGTGGGGGGTTGGCCCATGTGCTGACTATCCCCCATCAGTGAGCTCTTGCCACAATACAGAGAGGTGTTAGGTCACTTATTAAAATACTTTAAGTGAGGGCAAATTGCTGTAGGTGGGGCAACAGGTCCAGTGGGTTTCTTTACCCCAGAGTAATCATCAACTTTCTTCACGTAATTATTAGATTAGCATAAATTATGTTCCGTTTGAGTATGCTGACCACTCTTGCTGAATTTGTCAGTCAGTAACAATGAATCTAGTTACAAATTGAAAAAAGAGATGGATAAACAGACAGAAAGAGAGACTGGGATACATACAAAAGGACAGAGAGAGGAAGTGAATGTGAGAGAACACAAATTAGCCTTAACCTTCAGTCTTTGCCGTGTGGTAATGATGATGAATAACGGTGAACAAATGATAAGCACAGACCTAAATTGAAAACGGCACCAAATAGGGACATGCAGGCCACTCACCTCAACACAAACACACACACTACTACTACAGTTACACATTAAACAGTTACACATTTACAGAATAATTTCATCCTAAACACAGTAAAACACTTAAGAGTTGTTGTCACACTGCATTCCCTCTCCATGTCATAAATAATTTGTCAAAACAAAAAAAAAGTCAGGTTTCTGTATTTGTCTGGCTAACAAAATTGTAATTGTAGGAAATATCTATAAGAATTACTTGATTTTTATTACATTTAGCCACATATGCAGGCTGGTCCTTTCCTAAAGTTACTACAGGTAAAATACTACCTGAATACACTATTCTCAACATCATTATTTTGTATTTCATATGTTTTGTTCTGTGTGTATTCTGTGTTTCCCCTGATACACTGCCCTGTGAATTCTGCCTCATAAGACATTATCATCATGTTGGATGTACCATAAATAGGACTTACCGACTACATGAAAAAAATACTCATGTCAGCCTCCTAATGGTAATTACAAGTAGGGGCCTAGGACATGTGACTTACTGTGGCTCCCAATATATACCAATTAATGTCAAATAGCGGAAGTGCATCGACACAGGCAGCAAACTGCAGCAAAGCCACTAATGCCAGCAGTCGGATACAATAAAAATCAGAACCAGAGGTTATATTTCTAGTAATACAATGAACTGGTTATGTTTCATGTGGGCGGCCAATTAAAGGCTATAAGAATATGTATTCCACATACAGTAGACTGTAAAACTTATTCCATATGATCAGGCCTTTTTCTACCAAGAAATATGTGTGGTTAGCAGTAATATCTCTCTCTCTCTCTCTC